TCTCCACGTTACGACTGTTGCTTCCTCTTCGTCCTTTGGTCTTTTGTATTTTCAACAAATGAAACTGTAAAAAGTGGAAAGTTCACGTCTCCAAATATAAGCAAACTTTTTCGATTATGCGTATAGGGTTATAGTTTATGTTGTGATTGTTTTCATTAAATCAATGAAACAAGTACTTTGAGTGAAAGAAACCACATGTGGTAATGTGTTCGAGTTCGATTGATGGAAGTAGAGGTGCTCAATAACTTAGCCCGAAGCAACCTGATATTTAATCGAGTTATAAAATTTTCAAACTTAGGTATTGGGTTACTATTATTTGAACTCAATCCAACCCGATGAAACTGATATCCTTTTATTTATTTGGATCTAGTGTGATTGTTGAATTTCTATTAATATATATATACATTAGGCAAATCCACTATCACATACGCTCTTCATACACACATATTTTCAATCTATTTACATCTCTATATAGCTCATTCGTTTATATGTTCATTAACTGTGAACATATATATATATATATATATATATATGCAAATTGAGAAAAATAATTGAATGTGATATACGTAAGAAGTATGGATAAGTTGTATCAAATGGTTGATGATGAAAAAAAAAATGAGTAGAGAAATAACATATTCAATATTAGAAAAATACGTTAATGTACTAAAGTATCAACCCGTATGGTTTGGGTTATGTTAGGTTAAGATTTTTCAAACCGCAAGCATATGGTTGGGTTGTTCAAATGTCTTCAATCCGACCCACAAACATCCTCAGATGGAAGCACGTGGGAGGAGGGATGAGAGAGAAAAAAAGTTTTGGTTTATAAAAGAAAAAAAAAAAGACAAAAAGACTTAAATGCCCATTGACCATTTTTAACACCAAATACAAACTACATTGACTATTTTTGGACTTTCTACACGAGTAACCACTTTTGAAGTTTTCTTTTTATAAAGCATAGGGACCAAAAGTGGAGTTTAAAATTTTTAATAACTGTCTGTATTCGAGACAATTCACACGTCGATTATGATACAAGGTACTGAAGCTAACGGATGAATAAACATCCATGGACATATGCAACTAGAACCAGTGATCAGTGCAAACACGCTTAACCAGATTAATTACTTACAAAAAAGATTCACGGCACGTCTTATTACAAAAATAAAACCCAAACCATTAAATACAGTTTGATCTAATCATAATTTATTATTTTTCGTTCCACATGGTTTTCCTTTTTATGCTTGCAAATAGCAGGGTTTTATAAAAACTGAGCAGATCGTATGCGGTTCAGTTCTCGAGTTTTTAACTATTACAGAAGCAAATTTTTATCCAATGTATTATTATTTTTCAATAAAATATTGTTTAGTTGCAGACATAACGAGTCATGGATCCAATATTTCCGGTGAATTTGATGTATATTAATTTAATCAGTATTATCAGAAAAGATGTACAATATTTATAATAAAACTACAAAGAAATTATATTTATAAGCGTTTTAAAGAAATCTTAAAAGTATAAATAAAACACGAAGTATATGTATATTTTTTTTAAAAGAAAAAAATACCAAATATATATATTTTTTCATAAAATATTAATATTAAATAATAATTTAATTTTTATAAAAATTTAACAAAAGTACGGAGTCTACTTCGTGGAGTGAAATTGTTGACTTATATTTATGGAAATCTTGAATTGTTGTGGAAAAGGGTAAAATGGTCCTCAAATGTTTTCATTTCTTGAAACATGCAAACACCTCATCCAAAACAATTCAACCATTTTTAATTTTAATTTAATTCATTTAAAATACAAATATCGCATTTTTTTATATTTTTTAATTAATAATTTTAAAAATATGGACAATTGTTCTATTCCTTTCTCTCGGAGTTCAAGAACAGGAGTATTTTCGTTTTTTTTTCATATATTGACATCATATTTCTTAATCATTTGAGTCACTTACCATTTTAAAAAAAAACATGTTATGAATTTTAAACAAAAATCATTGTTTTACATACGAATTTAAAAAAAAAAAAAATCATTGTTTCACCTTTTTAATTATCTCATTCACTTTTTGATTTCACCTATGAACTTTGATTAAAAAAAGTGAACAACCAAAGTTTACGTAGTATTATGAATTTTAAACAAAAATCATTATTTCAAATGCAACGCATCATATTTGTACAGCTAATTTAACTCAATCAATTGAGATATTTATGGAAATGATGAGAGCTCATTTATTATGATTTAAATATTTATGAAATATGACTAGGTTTCATTAATTATGATCAATACTTTATATTAAAAAAAATCAAAACTTTTATAAAATCACATATTCATCTAACTAAATGGACGGTTGTGATTGAGTTGTATTGTTTGTATAAATATAAAAGGTTGCATAATAACACACTTCTCTCTCTTTATATATATATATATATATATATATATATATATATACACATATGTGTGTGTGTGTGTGTAGGGGAGGGATAAAATGAAACCAAACAAATTTTACAAACCATGAAAATCATTTATTTCATTGTTTAAATAAATGAATAATTTTTATGAAATTATTTAATATGATGAAATTCTTTAACATATTTTTGTTTTTATGTAAAAAGTTAAATTGTTTCATGTATTTCTTGTTTTGGTGAAAGTTATTCACTAAAATTAAAAGAAAATTTATGAATGATTGAATAAAGTTTTCACGATTTGTACAAATGACTTAATTTGTATTTTATCCCTCCCCTATATTTATATTCTTTTAGTTATTTAATTTTGATACATTTATTTACAATATTATCAAAGTTGTTATTTTTTATAAGAGGAAAATAATTTGTTATTTATAATGAAGGTAATTTAATATTTGTTGTAATATATTTATTTTTATAGACTATAAAGAATTTATACTAAATTTAAATAATTATGACGTAAGGTTTATATATATACTAGAAGGGTACTCGTGCAATGCAGCGAAATAAATCTTCAATTTAGTATTAATATTAAATTAATTATTTAATAGTTCTTTTTTTTTTGTGTAACTTCTTTAATTCAATTTTTTTATTATAATTTAATTTATGTTTAATAACAAAGTAATTTATTTTTGTTTTAATAATATAATTTTTATTAAAGATAATAATTAAACATTCTGTTAGAAACTCAATGATTATCTTAATTATATTTTTAGATTTTCTATATTTAAATTGATGTTTATCATGTATTTGATTATTTTTATCTGCAGTTAGTTACACGAATTTAAAAATGAAGCTTTAATAAGTTGTATTTATGCAAAAACACTTGTAATCTTGAATTTTAAGTAATATGCATCAATAAACAGTACTTCATGCATAAAAATTGGTTTTTAAGAGTTTTTGTCAAATGCTTTATAATATAGTATAGATAATTGATCATTTATACAAATAGGAAATTGACCAAAACTAGTGATTTTATAGTAATATATTTATTTTTTAGCTTAAATTTTTTTTGTCAATTAAAATCAAAATAACCAAGATTTTGTAAGTGTCATTTTACAACTTATGGAGATTCTTTGACAATTATTGAATAGTTTGGTGCAGAATCATTAAGTGGTCAGAATAATTAAAAGACTCTTACAATATAATACAAAAATGAAATACAATTGTTTGGTAATTATTCAAAATGAAATTAGGGTGTTGAATGATCAAGGGAGGCCCAAGATACAAAATCGTTCTGAGGAGTTTTTTTTTATTAACCTGGATATCCAACCCACTATGCGAGCCGACTAATCCCAAAACGACCACCTGCTTTGCGGATATCCCGGAGTCACCGCATTTGAACCTCTGTGGCCATAAAGAGATTTTTATTCCTCATTGGATTTGAACTTGAGACATCCTGATATTTTTGACTTTTAGAGCCAAGCTCAAACCAATCAGGCACCACCGTTGTGGCTTCTTTCAGAGGGTTTTAGAATCATTAAGAGACAAAAAAAAAATTGTCAAACAAGATTCACCTTTTAGCAATTCAGAGACTGACTTTTAATGAAACTAGTAAGAGGTAAACAAACAACCTCTTACTTTCTCTGAATTAAATTTGATTCTAGTGAGATCGGATTGCGAAATTGGCATGATTACCAAATGGATCCAACGGTCTGCAAGGTGGGAATGGCGGCTTGTGTTCTAGCTTAAGGAACTCTCCATACTGGTTTACAAAATGACCTATCAGAATCATATTTTATTCATAAAAATACATTTTGATAGTTGAAAAAGTGGGAAATGATGGCATTTTGGCTTTCCATTTCAGATAATTTACAAAAAATCTATCGAAGATGCTCTAATATATCAATCAATGTTCTTGTAAAAAAATAATTGGAATTTGAAGTCTAATTTAATGTTAAATTTTAATTTTAATCATACAACTTAAAGAAAATAAGAATCCGGGGCTAGTTGGCATTTGCTGAATGATTTGTGCAGAATGATTAAGTGGTCAGCATGATTAAGAAACTCTCATAATATAATGCAAAATAAATATAGTTGTTTAATAATTATTTATAATGAAATTAGGATGTTAAATGTTTAAGTGAGATCTATGATACAAAGGGTTGTTTGACAATTGCTGAATGGTTTGGTGCAGAATGATTAAGTGGTCAGAATGATTAAGAGACTTTCATGATATAGTGGAAAATGATATATAATTGTTTGGTAATTGTTTACAGTGAAATCATGACACTTAATGGTTAAGGGAGACTTAGAATACAAAATTATTTAGAGGTTTTTAAGACCATTAAGAGACAGACCTTTTTTTTTTTGCCAAATAAGATTCACTTCTTAATGATTCAAATGTTTTCTTTTAATAGAACTATTAAGAGGTAAACAAACAACCCCAAAATCAGTTAGAGGGTTTTAGAACCATTAAGAGACAAAAAAATTTGTCAAACAAGATTCATCTCTTAACCATTCAGAGATTGTATGTTAATGAAACTATTAAGAGGTAAACAAACAACCCTAAAGATGTTTTCTTTATATATTTTTTTTGAAAATTACAAAAAGGGAAGAAAATATAAAATATTACAATAATCTAGTATTTATAATACCAGTAACTAATTAAACTGTAGCTAAAAACCGCCACCCAATAGGGAAAATGGATAAGCCGGCGGTGGTCTAACGTCCGGCTCCGGCGAAACTCCTCCGGAGTAATCCATATTGAATCCACCGCCGCCTCCATCTGTATAATTTCCATACATACTAATTCCATTCACCGGACCGGATTCCATATTAAGACCGCCGCCGCCAACGACGGCTTTGGTCCGCGGCCATGCCATGGATATTGTATCCGGCGACGGCGATGACTGCCAAAACGGCTCATTACCATAATAACCCTCCGGTGAAGAAGCTGTCCATCCTCCGAGAATCCGACACTCGTCATCCTCCTTGTTCTTCACCCTCGACGACGGCGACGGCAACGGCGACGGAGGAATCAAAATCCGTTGCCGCTTTTTATGTATCAAACGTTTCGATCGTTGATCCTTTTCAAGCATCATACGTGGCAAGATCTCGGGATCCTCCGCCACTTTATGCAATAACGCCATCATTTGCTCCGGCCGCCGCTCCGTCGCCTCCAGCCGCTTGTTCATCCCGATTAACTCCCGTTCTAACGCCTTCTGCTCCTGATTTAATCTTGCAATCTCCACCGCCATCTCAACTTCATCATCTTCCTCCGATCGCATGAAATTATTCCTATTGTGAATCTGTTTCTTCCTCCCTAAATTCTTCAACAAATGCGTTTGTCCTCTCAAAAACCACTCGCTCGCAAATTCCCATCGATCAGGATCCACTTTTCTGAAACCCTAAAAATCGATCCAATTCGAAATACGAATCAAAAACCAAATCAATCAACAAAATAATACTTCAAACAAAATCACACAAAACACAAATTAGGAGAAATTATGCTTACATAAGTGTTTAATTGACGAATAAAACTGGAGAAATTATTGTGTTTGAAGTAAGCAGGTAAAAGACGTTGGGAGAAATCGAGAGGTTGGACGACGATGAAGCTGTTATCGGCGATTCCCCACCGGATGAAACCGTCGAGAGATGGATCGTTGACCATCTGATAAGTTTTGAGGACGAAAGGTGCGATAATGTCGTTAGACTCCATGATTTCATGAGAGTTTGTGAAGGAAGGAGTGAGTTAATATATGAACAAGTAGTTTTAAGGGAAGTGTGAAAGCATGGCGGTCACGGCTGTGGGGCCGGAAATAGTGCGGTGGGGCCGGCGGTTTCAGATATTTTGCCAGTTATCTGATGGTTTAGTCACGCGCCAAAATGAGAGTATGGGCTTTGTGTCATCATCCACCTGTAAATATACGCTATTTTTATTTATTAAATACTTGTATTTTCTTTTACCTTTTAATTTAATTAAAAAATTCGAATATTTGTTAATAAAATATAACTATAACAACAAAAAACTACCAATAATTCCATTTAACTGTATGGAATATGATTTTAAAAAAAATCATATGTGTAATCATACAAAAGGTTGATTATCGACAACCCCAATAGGTTCCATATGGATCCCTAAGGATGGTGATTTGTCTCGACCCACCCGATCCGAATGAGGACGGGGATTTCCCGCTAAAACGGGTCCCGGGATCCCCGATAGACTCAAACCGGGGCCGAAGGCTATTACTCAAACTGGGGTTGGGGTTGGGGATCCCTAGTAGACTCAAACAAAAGAATATAACTCATGGGGGTTGACCGGAGTTTGACCAGAGACGAGATGTTAATCCTCGTACCGATCAGGGACCAAGGCCGGGGGCTATTAATAAAAACCTGGGTTAGGGTCGGGGATTATAAAACCCGCCTCATCCCTGCCCTATTGCCATGCCTATGGATCCCCCATCTAAGGATACAATATGATGGGGCATTTTTTGGCTTAGTCAGTGGCTGAAGCTAGGGGCGTGGGCGGGGGGCCGGGATTGAACCTGAGACCTGTCTTGTATTTAAGAAAAGACGTCTTACTTTTTTGTCAACTGGACTACGGTTAGAGACAGATTTCCTACGTTTACAAAAAGAAATGGAATCTATTTAGAAGATTTAATTTTTTTAATTAAAATGGTTTTTAGACAAATTCATGTTTAATTGAATATATTAATGACCACGTGGTCGTATGGATTGGTGCCACGTATCCAATTTTAGTTAAATAAAATATTAAGGTGTTTTTAAGTATATCTATACTATCTTATAAACCATTTGGCTAAAACTCTTAAAAACTCTTACAACTCTTAAACCCGTTCATCCCTAAACGATTTCATCCCTATCCGATTTCATCTCATGTCTGAATTCGTGTAACTAACTGCAGATAAACACAATCAAATACAAGATAAACATCTCATTTTAAATATAAAAAATCTAAAATATAATTAGCATAATCATTAAATTCTAACAGAATACTTAATTATTATCTTTATAAAATGTTATATTATTAAACCAAAAATAAATTATTTTATTATTAAA